CGCGGCTAACTATAACGCGTTTGGTGAATAATTTTAAGCAGCATGGCATTGTAACAAATATACCAGTTCCTCATCGTGCCATAACAGTTCATACGGAATAGCAACTTTCTTATTTTCACATCAATAATATTAGAATAAATTAAAAAAAAAATTGTTCACTCCATATTTTAATTGCGGAAGACGTCACGTGGAAGTGTACATGTACATACATAAACAAGAATACACTATGTAATTTGATATTATGTATGGTCCGACTCCGGGTCCATGATGTCAACCTCCCGGAAGAGACCCGCCACTACCACCGAAAACACGTCTGTTCCGTCGGAGTCTTCAGACTGGAGACACTTCCTTCACAAAAGTGACATCTAGGCGCGGCCGTAAACGCGCAGTGAAAATACGCACGCCCCCCCCCCCCCCCCCGTCCCGGCAGCCCGTGCCATTGCCACCCTCACACCTGCAGCCCCCGCCGCTGCCTCAAACCCCGCAGCCCTCACCGCTGCCTCAACTTTCAGTTAACAGTCTTTCTCAGAGACAAGGCCAAATTCACCCGCCATTCCAAAACCTGCTACGATGCAGGTATAAAATATGACCAGGCCACCAACGTTGGTGAATCCATAAAATTATCTCACAGTCGATCGACGACTTTGGCCGCCTTACCAGGCTTTTCACACCCGAGCGTGTGTCCTACCACACGTACGCTCTTCCGGAAGAGCGTAAGGTCAGGACCGTAATTCGCAGGGTTTCGTTCGAATTCTCGAATGACGACGTCCTTGAGGAACTTAATTCCCAAGGATTCCCAGTGAAGGCTGTGCACAAGATGCACAGCGGCAAGGGCAAGAGGTTCCTGATTGCCCTTGTAAGGTTGACTAACGTGCCGGAGGCAACAGCCATTTTCCGGCAGATACTGTGTGTGTGCGGCCTGTCAAGACGTCCCAGCAAATAAGCTCCGTCGCTGGTCAATGACAGGTCATCCCCGGCCCTCCCCGCAAGAATGCCTCACCAGGGTCTTTCCCAGCCCCTTCAGGGCCCTCTTCGGCCCTCTCCGGGCTTCTCACAGCCTACACAGCCTCTAAATTTTCTACGGGGCCCCAAAAAGGCTGACCCTTGGTGGACATCCTCCGCCCCACAACAGGCACTGGTTCTCTCAATGGTTGATGACGTGAATACGGTGTATGCCGCTATTCGGAGCATCGACATTGGCGAGATTGCCATATTAGCGCGCAAACTGCGTGCTGCTCGGTCCCCACAGAACCGTCTCCTTGCTCTTGCTGAGCAAAACAATCTTTTGTGCTCTTTGTAAGTTAAGTTAATTTAATTTAACTTAACTTTACAATGACAGAACACTCTGCTCTCCCAAAGTCTCAAGGTCGTACTAAGCCGAAGCGTTTATCGCTTGTGTCTTATAATATTCGCGGGTTGCGAAATAACCTCCCCGAGCTTAAGCTCTTCCTTGCGAAGCCGACCTCCTCCTCCTCCAGGAAACTAATCCCAATACTAAGGACATCAAAGGCCTTTCCATACAAAAGTATTCTCTTCTTCGTAACGACAGACCTGACCGCAAAGGCGGCGTTACTGCCTACTCTGCAGCTTACCTAGCCTTGACTGGACATCAGTCCATCGTCGGATTCGGATTCCTCCCCGTCAAAAAAGATTTTGAGGCTATCCTTTCATTAGGTGACTCAGTCATTATGTTGTTTTTATCGGTCCGGAAAAATCGCTGATGGTAATCGATTCCACAAGGAAGTCGTGCGAGGAAGAAAACATCTTCTAAATCGCACAATCGTGTACCGCCAATCATCCAGATGGTGTGGATTGTATCGGGAGTTCTACCGCGATATGCGTTAGTGAAATTTGGCGGCTGGGATTAATTCGAACAATTCCTCAGAGCACTACCCGTGGTAAATGCGAAAGAAAATGCAAAGGGATGCAACATCTCTTCGCAGTGCCAATGAATCGAGCCGATCGGAAAGGACTCGGTCGTCGACGATTCAAGCCGCTCTGCGCTGGATGCGGTCAAGTGGAAGGAGCTGGCACTGGGGAGCCCCTGCCCAGAGATGGGAACAGTATTCCATGTGAGGCCGAACCTGCGCCTTGTAAAGTTGCAGGCGGAGTGGCGGCATAAAATACTGTCCTACTCTGCTGAGCACGCCAAGCTTTTTAGAGGCCAATTTGGCCTTCTCTTCCAAGTGACTACGAAACTGCACGTCAATCGATATGTCGACTCCGAGTATTCCGATACTGGCTGAGGCAAGAAGGGGAGTGCCTTGAATCTGAGGAGATACGACAAAGGGGTTCCTTTTAGCGGTAAACGCGCAAACTTGTGTCTTCGGAGGATTAAACTGGACTAAATTTAGTCGCCCCATATCCGAGACTTTGTTCAGCAAAGACTCGACTTCAGACACAAGTTTGTTCCGGTACTCAGCGACGTTTTCCCAAAAATATTGGCACGGCCGGTGTATAAAGCATCACCAGGGCTGTCATCCGCATAGCAATGAATGTTACCAGTTAGCAACATATCATTGATATGCAGAAGAAACAGCGTTGGTGATAGCGCACAGCCTTGTGGAACACCAGCGTTAATAGGCTTGTAGTCAGAGCATGCACCGTCTACAACGACCTTGATGCTCCGATGTGCAAGGAAGCTGGTGATCCAATTGCACAATTTCTCGGGAAGCCCATAGGAAGGGAGCTTCGAAAGAAGCGCTTTGTGCCAAACCCGATCGAAGGCCTTCGCAATGTCCAAACTAACGGCGAACGCCTCCCCCTTGGACTCTACTGCCTCCGCCCATCTATGGTTCAGATAGACCAGAAGATTACCAGCTGATCGACCCCGGCGAAAACCGTATTGGCGGTCACTAATCAGCTGGTGATCCTCAAGGTACCGAATGAGCTGGCAGTTAATAATGGATTCCATTATTTTGGGGAACAAGGGGATGATGGCGATAGGCCTGTAGTTGGACGGAACTGAGCGGTCGCCTTTTTTAGGGATCGGGTGGACAAAAGCTGTTTTCCATGAATTCGGGACTACGCCTTGGGAGTAGGAGTACCGGAAAAGATGCGTTAGGACCGGTGCAAACTCCGGAGCACACGTCTTCAGCACAATTGGGAAGATTCCGTCAGGCCCACTCGACTTCTGGATGTCCAGGGAGAGGAGTGCTTTGCGAACCGAGCGCTGTGAGAATAGCATATCCGGCATGGAGCACTCACACCATGGGATGGTCGGCGGTGTTTTTCCTCCTTCATTAAGAGTCGAGTTAGACGCAAAAAGTGAGCCTAAAAGGTCGGCTTTGTCTTTTGCGGCTTGGACAAGTGAGTCGTCCTCCCTGTGCAGAGATGGTAGTGATGGCTTACAGAAATTCCCTTGGACAGCCTTGGCAAGAGACCAGAATGCACGGGTTTCCAAAGGAAGGCGAACTAGTTTCTCGTCAATTCTGCCTATGTGCTCTGACTTTGCCTTGGCAATAACTCTTTTGAAGGACCTGGAGGCGAAGTCATACTTCTTTTTGAGTATGATGGTGTTTACATCCCGAGTTGCCGAAGCCGCTGCCCAGGCTTGATAACACTCCTGCTTACTGCGTAATGCAGTCTTAGCCAAACACGGCGGCAACCTGCAGAACGCAACCGCGAGGGGAGCGTGAGTGGCACCACACTCCGAATCAGACAATGGTCCGAAGAGCCGAGAGGGCATCGACGGAAACCTGATATCCGTCCGGATGAGAGGTCAGCAGAAGGTCCAACAGGGAAGGCGTGTGATCCTCCACATCTGGAATCCGTGTAGGCAAAGTAACCAGTTGTGTCAGACCATATGCCAAGGCAAAGTCATAAATAGATCTCCCCGCATGATCGGTTAAACGTGAACCGAGCCATTCGGCGTGGTGGGCGTTAAGAATCTTGACAAAAATCAAGATGAAATAGAGAAAAAGATACAAATCGATTTTAACAACATAACTAAGTGGTCTCATGATAATGGAATTATTATGAACAGAGCAAAAACTAAAGGAATGCATATGTCATCACCGCATAATATTAAAAGTACAAAAGAATATAAGATAGTGGATCAGTCATACCAATGTATACACGAAAATATGCTTAATTGTAAATGTGCAATTATAGAATTTGTAAAACATTTCAAATATCTAGGCGTAACAATAGATAGAAATATGAACTGGGGTAGCCATATAGAACAGGTGTGTAATAAATTAAAAGGCATATTAAGTAAATTCCATTTTTTGAAGAAAGTAACATGTAAAGCTGTACTGTATGTTGTTTATTACGTACTAGTTGAGTCAACGTTGCAATATGGATTAGTAGCATATGGAAGGACTTTTAAAACATATATAGATAAATTAAAGCAATTTCAAATTAGATTTATGAAAATATTGGCTAAGCCAAAAGCTAAAATTAAATTTAGGGATAATTATGAGCAGCTCTTTCAGGAGTGTAATTTAATACCGATACACGAGCAATTTAAAATATCATTTGCGACATGTGATAAGTATTATTCAATCTTATGTAACGCATTGAGTAGCTATATGCCCATAAATAAGAATACGCGCAGACCGCGTAAACTAATAACATTGCAATATAAATGTGCTAATTATTATGGCAAAAGAACATTTCAATGTTTACCATCGAAAATATACAACAATTTACCGGGAGAATGCCTTACGCATAAAACAAAAACACAGTTTAAAAATAAGTTAAAAAAGTTCATACTAATAAATAGTAAAAATTAACATTTGTATCGTGATGATCCATTCTACAACAATATAAGCTGTAGTTATTATGTATGGGTGTGTACCTCGAATGTATATGTGTATGTGTATATGTATACTATATATTTGATACTATAGATTTGTTATATTTGAGTGTATATTTGTATTAAGCTTTTTCCTTTTTTTTTTGCATGTTAGGAAATAAGAGAGCATTTTTCTTCTGCCAACAAACTGCTGAGCAGTTTGGCAGACAGTAAAACTTTAAAAGTGTAAATTTAAATAATTTTGTTAAATAAAAAATTAAAAATAAAGGAATCTGTAGCCATTTGGACGTGGTCGATGAGTCGGTCTGTTTCGGCATTACCGCTATGGCACCTATAGAGGCACCCGTAGACGCGCGGATGGTCTTCGCTGTCTACGCGTAGCCAAAGGAATGACAGGTCCAAACCTTCAAGACTGTCGAGGCTTCGAGAACAAATGTCCTCTCTGACATACACGCAAACACCAGCCCGAGGCACAAATGAGTACTCCAATTTGTACCCCGTGTAGGAGAGATACGATGTACATAGGCTGCACTAAAAGTATCGAGAATGGAATATTTCCACTGTTCCTGTCATATTAAAATCTTTATAATTGAAAATTCCTTGGTTTTTTAAATTGAATACCATTTATTTATTAAAAAAAAAATTCTCGGTCTTGTCACAAGGTTTTGTCAAACTTGTTTAGTCGTTGAGAAAATGGAATTGACTCGAGAAAATTCAAGAGCGATTATTTATTATAACTTTTGAAGTGGTTTAACACAAAACCAGTGTATTGACCGGATGATTTCTGCATTTGGTGATGAAGCCCCATCCAAAACCACAATTTATCGCTGATTTGCTGAATTTCAACGTGGACGTGTCAAGCTCAGTGATGATCCCCGTCAAGGTGGTCCAAAAACTGCAGTCACCCAAGAAAACGTTGATGCTGTGCGTAAGCTGATTGAGGAAGATTGATATGTGACATACCGCGAAATTCAGGCAACTTTAGACATTGGCATGAGTTAAATACAAATAATCTTGCATGAACAATTAGGTGTAAAAAAGTTGTTTTCCCGATGGATACCGCATTCGCTCTGTGAAGAGCAAAAAGCGGCTCGCGTTACTTGGTGCGTCAGAACTCTCGAAAGATTCCACGCAGGATCCTCAAATGCTGTATACAACGTCGTATCAGGTGACGAATCCTGGATATACGCGTACGAACCCGAAACAAAAAACCAGTCACGAGTTTGGGTGTTCGAAAATGAGTTAAAGCCAACAAAAATTGTTCGTTCACGGAGTGTTGCAAAAAAAATGGTGGCCACGTTTGTCTCCAAAACCGGCCATGTTACGACTATTCCTCTTGAGGGACAAAGAACGGTTAATGCAGAATGGTATGCTAGCATTTGTTTGCCACAGGTCGTTTCTGAACTTCGTAAAGAGAACTGCAACCGCCGCATCATTCTCCGTCAGGACAATGCGAGTTCTCACACCGCACACAGAACAAAAGAGTTTTTAGAGCAAGAAAACATAGAATTATTAGACTATCCGCCGCACAGCCCCGACCTAAGCCCTAATGATTTCTATACTTTCCCTAAAATAAAGAATAAATTGCGTGGACAGCGATTTTCATTACCTGAAAAAGCTGTGGACGCCTACAAAACGGCTATTTTGGAGACCCTACCTTCTGAATTGAATGGTTGCTTCAATGATTGGTTCCATCGTATGGTAAAATGTGTCAAATTTCGCGGAGAATACTTCGAAAACCAATAAATACATTTTTAAATAGTAATGTTGTGTCACTTCCATGATTCCCAAAATTTTCAGTATCAGCCGGAGAGGACACCTGCGTCTCGGTCAGAAAGAGCAAGGACAGCTTCGCCGTCTCAAGATGGTAGTTGAAGGCGTTTAGGTTCGAGTGAAGTCCCCTGATGGTGCAGAAATTCACGGATTATGTGGCAGGGGTCGCATTGGTATTGTTGCTGTTTGCCCCGAGCATTTATGTTTTTGAGCGGAAATTTGCCCCCCCCCCCCCCAGAATACGCGGGGCAGCCTGAGCACCCACGCTCAGGAGTGGAATAACATAGTCGTGGATGCTCAGCGAGGGAGTCTCCAGGGGTGCTGGTACCCTCCTGGGGCAGTCTTTCGTGTAATTCCGATACCATGTGGATGGGGGGGGGGGGGGAATTGGGCCTCCGGCCACCTGCACTCACCAGACGAAATGCGGTAGCAGAGCTTATACTTCACGCCGGTATTCTGTGAGGTCGTGGTACCAACCCGGCTCGAGGCGGCCCATACGTGCAACAGCAAAAACTGCCGCGTGGCTCTACCACCGTTGTTTGAAGATCTTAACTCCAAGCATACTGAATGGACCTGCCTTTCTACTTCTAAGAGTGGCAAGAAACTGCTCGATATCACGCAGTCTCTTGAGCTTACCGTCCACAGTCCACTCGGTGTCACTCACTATCCCGACAACACCGACCACGCTCCTGACGTGCTAGACTTTGCGCTAGTTAAAAGAGTTTCCCTCAACTTCAGGGCAATCGAGACTCTAGATGATCTAGGATCCGAACACAGACCGGTCTCTCTCATTCTTGGCCATCAGCCACCTCCCTCAACCTCCTCCACGAAAACTTTCACTAACTGGGAGTCCCTAGCTAAAGCTATGGACTCACAGGAATCCTCCATCTCCCTCTCGTCGGACTTCGACAGTCCCGAAAAAATCGATGCCGCTGTCGATGCTCTCTCCACCCTTATGAAATCCTCCCTTAACGAGAATAAGAGGGTCGTCCCGAATGCTAATAATGATGGTCTTCCCCTACATATTAGCAACCTAATGAAAGCCAAGAGAGCTGCTTTTCGGAGAGCAGCAATCTATCTTATCCCCGACCCCGACTATAGGCGTACGGCCAATCGTCTTCAACAAGAAGTTCGTTTCTGTCTCTTCAAACTTTGAGACCTCGAAAAGAGTAAGCTCATGGATATATCTCCCTCTCATACAGCTTACTATCAGATGGCAAGAGCCCTCCGCATAGACGCTATCACCCACACTCCCCCTCTCTCCCTTCCCGACGGTACGGTTGCCTTCGAGGACGAGGAAAAGGCTGAGTGCTTTGCAGACAGCATTGCCGCACAAAACTCTCCTAGCTGAGAGCTACTACCCACTGACCCCTCCCACATCCAGATAGTGGATGACGAGGTCCGCCGCCGGAACTCACCCCCCACAACCTCTGACCCTATCACTGTGTCGAATGATGATATCTCATCCCTCATCAAAGGACTGAAGCCCAAAAAGGCTCCGGGCGCGGATGGCATCTCCAATCAAGCCCTTAAACATTTGCCTGAGCAGGTGTTAACCATTTTTGCTATTATCTTCAACGCTTGCTTCAACCCTAGTTACTTTACCACCATGTGAAAAGAGGTAACTGTCATTGGTATCCCCAAGCCAGGAAAGCCTCACAACCTCCCCACCAGTCATCGTCTCATCAGCCTCCTCAAGGCCATGGGCAAACTCTTCGAACGAGTCACCTCATCATTCTCTTGTCATCCTCCACCAATTTAGTTTCTGAGAGAAACATTCTTGTCCCCAACAAGTTCACCGTATTGTGGAATATATCATCAGCGGTTTGTAACCTCGTCGTCATAAGACCATCGCGGCCTTTTTCGACATAGCAAAGGCATTCGATTGATTCTGGCACGAAGGCCTTATATATAATCCTATAAAATAGGCCTCCCTGATCGTTTTGTTCGTCTCGTGGCCTACCATCTGAAGGATCGTACCTTTCGTTTGAGACACAAAGGCACGCTCTCCTTTCAGCGTCCCATCAAAGCCGGTGTCCCTCAGAGCTCAGTGCTTGCCCCTTTTCTATATATCCTGTTCACCAACGACATTCCCATCGCGTCGAAAGGTGTTCAGCTCTCCCTCTTTGCAAACGAAACTGCCCTCCATTGTAAAGGTATTTCACTACCTTTCATACGGAACAAGATCCAAGAGTCAGTTAATAACTTAGGAGCTTGGTTCCAAAAATGGCGTATCGATGTGAACCCGCAGAAGAGTTCTGCCGTTCACTTCGATCATAAACGATGCCGCCTCTCTACCATTCCGCCAATCCATATGCTAGGGACCCCTGTCCCCTGGCATACGACCGTTAAATATTTAGGTGTCACTCTTGACACGAGGCTGACTTTCGCGCCCCATATCAAAAGAGTAACCCAAAACTCACGTTTCTATTTGAGTAGGTTCAACATTATGCAGGGCCGACGCAGTAAAATGTCCCTCCGCAACAAGAAAACCCTTTATAAGGTCTGTATACGACCAGTTATGACATACGCGGGCCCCATATTTGCACACGCTAATCCCGAAATCATTAACGAGCTTCAAATAGTTCAAAACCACTTCTGTCGTGTGGATACGAACGCACCCTGGTACGTCCGTAACGCTGACCTCTATCGAGACTTAGAGCTCCCCACAGTCCAGCAATTTCTAAAAACACTCTCAGAGAACTTCTTAAAAGGCTCAGAGTCTCACTCTTATCATTTCAATCGTGAGGCAGCTTCCTATGCAGCCCCACTCCCCTCTAGCTATCGAGTCCGAAGACCGAGAAACTTTCTCACGGACCTCCCAAACAAGCTTTCGGCCGACCTAAACCGCCTCCTGGTGGCTCAGGCCGAATCTTCCCCCCGCCCTTAATTTGCCTTAATTAGGCTTCCCCTCAGCGGCTCCTCGCCGCCTGTGCCCCCTTTTCCAAAAAGGAGGTCGTTTCCGATTCGGCAGAAAGGCCTCAAAAGCCAATGCCAGTCTCACAGCTGGTGTTTAGTGGGTAGGCACTTAGGCGGTTAGTCGCAGTGAGTCCCACATAAACACGACAGCCGGATGTCGTGGTATGCTTAGATCATTCACCACCTCCTTCTTCGCCTTCCGGAGGGTAGCACTTTCGTTAGCATCTGGGCACAAAAAAAAATGAAAATGATTTTTTACTATTAATTTATTATTCCTAGCTTCATGATTGTGTTTGTGAAATAAACACATCAACGCGGTACAGGTATACTTTTAATAAAATTGACCAATTAAAAAAGTACTGCCCACTTTAAAATGTTCTTAATATCAAATTGCTTTCCATTTATTTCAAATCCATTAATGAAAGAAAACAATAATTGTGTAGGGGGTAAAAATTGAGTTGAACTATAGGGAGCAAATTTTGTAGTAGGAGTAATTATTTTGTTTTTATTGATAACCACTATTTAAACACCTTAATAATATGTTGATTGTGGTAATTTGATATGTTATTACAATGCAACGTCAACAGTTGAGTGGAGAAGAGATATTAAGTGCAGTGGGAATGCTGCATTAATGCTTTTCAACGTGTCGTCGCTGCGGCAATAGACACCAAGCAAAATGATGATTTCGAGGTTGTGGTCACGCTATCGTGCCACGGGGGAGATGACGGAGAGATATTCAGGACCAAGCCGTATTATTACATGTAGACAAGAACGTTTTTTGTAAATTGCCGCAAGGAGGCAATCAAATGTTACAGCGATGCAGTTTATTCAAAGGTGCTTGTAAGTGACAAGCTACAAGGAGGGGACTGCACGAAGCCAATTTTTGTGCTTGTTGATAAATATGATTCCAGCTCTAATGAGAGGGAATCGTTGACGAAGACTGGAGTGGTCTAGGGAACATGTAAACTGGAAATATCATCAATGGTCGTTGGTGCTTTCCATCGATGAATTCCGATTTGGTTTTTATCTTGATTCGAGGAGAGTACGTGTTTGAAGAGTTCCTAGTCGTACAAACTGGTTTCAAAACACTCAAGAAGTTTATTGATACCAATTATGGCGTGGGTAGGAATCGTTTTCGGAACATGATGTCACAGCCCTAGAATGGCCAGCGCAATCCCCAGATTTAAATTATATTGAATTCTCAAAGAAGATATGCTCCAAAGAAGAGGTCTGGGAAAATCTTGTTACAGAAGAACAATTTCTTATGCATCTCAGTAGGATCTGAGTCAATATTCATGAGTGCTTTACCTTACTGAATTATAATGCAACTTAATGAATTGCCTAAAACGCCGTGTTAGTGATGGGAAAGAATACTCACTACCCCATATCTTCCCGTGGGTGTCGTAAGCGGCGACAGAGGGAAACTGAGGCAGAGGATGGGCAGCAGCATCTTTATGATAATAGCAAAACAACAATAAAAAAGCTGCGGTTGCCAACCCGCTCGCCAAGCGTGGCAACTATGGCAATATACCCCCCATGAGAGTAACGAAGAGACGGCTCCTAGTCCTCGGTGGCCCCGCTATTCCTGGCTACGGTGGTGACCATGGTAACGGTGGGTGCTAAGAATCTCTGGTGGAGGTTCGGCTGCCACCTACGACGACTCGACCTGGCAACTTATAACGTACGCACTAGGGTGTTGCCAGGACTATATAGTCCTTAGGAGGACTGACGAGAAGATCCTGGAGCTGAAAGAAGAGATAGACAAGTTGCGCTGGAATATCATAGGATTATCCGAGGTCCGAAGAGAGGGGAAGAACACGGTAATCTTCGAATCCGGCAACTTGTTCTATCACCGGGAGGGCGACCATCTGTCTCAAGGAGATGTTCGATTTATCGTCTCGTTAACAACGTTGTAAAGATTGGGAGTGAGCCGACAAGGGTTGCGTACCTTATAATCAGAATCACCAAACGGTATTCGCTGAAGGTCATACAGATTTACGCACCAACCTCGGCACACCCCGATGAGGATGTGGAGGAAATGTATGTAGATATCTCTAGAGCCATGCATTCGTCCAAAACCCACTATACGGTGTTAATGGGAGACTTCAACGCAAAACTAGGCACATGAGAGAACGATGAGCTGAAAGAAGGGAAATTCGGAATAGAGCAACGGAACCCAATGAAAGGGCCAGCAGCTGGCCGACTTCATGGAGAAAGAAGGACTTTTTATGATGAAATCTGTTTTCCAGAAGCGGCCCCACAGGAAGTGGCCTGGTCGAACGCCGACGGTTCGACAAAAAATGAGATTGACTTCATTATGACGACCAGACGGCAACTGTTCAGTGATGTCTCAGAGATCGCGAGGGTGAAAATCGGCAGCGATCACCGAATGGTGGGAGGCACACTGAACCTATACGTTAAGTTGGAGAGGTCACGTCTAATGAAGTCAACGATCCGTCCCCCTCGTGCTCTAATCCAAAGTCTAGAAACCTTTCAGCTCGAGCTACGAAACCGTTTTCAGAGCCTAGAAGATTGCAACGCAGTGGACGATATGATTGACAAGCTCGTGGATACTGTTCATGCGGTCGGAGCTAAGTTCTGCAAGACCCGCCGCAGAAGAACACAAAAACTCTCCGATCACACTCTTAATCTCATGGCTGTTAGACGGGATATGAAACTGTAGTCTTCAGCAGATTGGTCAGCATACAGGCAACTGAACAGACAGATCTCCAAATGCATGCGGTAGGACTTACGCAACTTTAATTCTGCTCGTATTGAAGAAGTTATAGTGCAGAACCAGGGCTCCAAAGTCTTTAGTAGAGATCTGTCTGCCAGAAAGAGCCAACTGTCAAAGCTGAAGACAGCATCATTTCCGGGACACCTGAGATTTTGAGTGAGATTGAGAGGTTCTATTGGCAGCTGTACACATCATCGTTGGAGCCACACGCAAATGTGAGTAACGATCCAAGAGCGAGTCTTATCCGACTTTATTCCGATGATATCCCGGACGTCAGTCTGAGTGAGATTAGAATGGCTCTCCAGCACCTTAAAAATGGCAAGGGCCCTGGCGAGGATGGAATTACAGCGGAGCTTCTGAAAGCGGGTGGAAGACCGGTACTTGAAGTCCTTTAGAAGCTCTTTGATTCCGTCCTCCATGGTGGCATTACAACGGAGGCGTGGAGCAGAGGTGCGGTGGTCTTGTTCTTTAAGAAAGGCGACAACGCTCTTTTGAAGAACTACAGACCGATTTCCGTTCTGAGCTACGTCTACGTGCTGTTTTCGAGAGTCGTAACGAATCGTCTCACGCGTAGAGTTGACGACTTCCAGCCTCCCGAACAAGCCGGTTTCCGAAAAGGCTTTAGCACCGTAGACCACATACATACAATTTGCCACTATATCTGGCGTATGTGCACTATAAGAAAGCTGTTGATTCTGTCGGAATTCGGGCGGTACTGCAGTCCCTTCAGCGGTGCCAAGTTGACTGTTGGTATATCGAAGTGCTGAAGTGCTTATACAGTAGGGCTCAAGTAGCCTTGTCGAACACAAACGTTAATGGGCTTGTAATCGGAGCTTGCACCATCTACAATGACGTTGATGCTCCGATCTGCAAGAAAACTGCTAAACCAATTGTACAGTTTCTCGAAAAACCCATAGGAAGGAAGCTTCCCAAGAAGCGTTTTGTGCCAAACCCGATCGAAGGCCTTCGCTATATCCAAACTAACAGCAAACGCCGCCCACTTGGACTCCACTGCATACGCCCATCTATGAGTTAGGTATCCTAGAAGATCACCAGCTGAGCGACCTCGACGGAAACCGTAGACCAGCTCGGTCACTCGACCTCACTCCTCTAGACTTCTTTTTATGGGGCTTTATTAAAAATGAAGTGCACTCAAAGATCTCCGAACTGCCTTCGCCTATTTATGAATTAGGTTACCCAGAAGATCACCAGCTGAGCGACCGTGACGGAAACCGCACTGACAGTCACTAATCCGCTGGTGATCCTCAAGGTACCGCATGAGCTGGCTGTTAATAATGGACTCCATTATTTTAGAGAACAAGAGGTAAACTTTTTTAGGGATTGGGTGCACAAAAGCTGTCTTCCATGATTTCGGGACTACGCCTAGGGAGTAGGAGTACTGGAAAAGACACATTAAAGACGGTGCCAACTCTGGAGCACACGTCTTCAGCCCAATAGGAGGAACGCCATCAGACACACTCGCCTTGTTGACGACCAGGGAGAGGAGGGCTCTGCGCACAGAGCGTTAGGTAAACAGCACCTCCTGCATGGAGCAGTCACACCGAGGGATAGTCGGCGGTGTGTTCCCTTCGTCATCAAGAGTTGAGATGGACGCAAACAGAGAGCCGATCAGATCGGCTTTGTCCTTTGCGGCATGGACAGTGAGTTGTCCTCCCTGTGCAGAGATGGGGGAGATGAGTGAATGAAGTTCCCTTGGACAGTCTTGGCAATAGAGCAGAATGCACGAGTTCCCGAAGGAATAAGAACTAGTTTCTCGCCAATTCTGCCGATGTGTTCTGACTTACCCATTACAATGATACTTTGAAGGACCTGGAGGCGGAATTATACTTATTTTTAAGAGTACTGGTATTAGTATCCCGAGACGTCGATGCATGAGCCCAGGCCTGATAGTCTTCTTGCTTATGGCGTAATGCAATTTTGCAGGAGCAACCAAACCATGGCTGAGTTTTTCCTCCGATAGGTACCACAGATGACGGAATATAAAGTTCCATTCCTTGTAGCACCACATAAGTGACAAAATCAGCAACAAAGCTGGGATCATTCGGCGAGAAGCAAACCCAAGGGTAGGATGAAAAAAAAGTTCGCATCTCATCCTAATCGGCTAGAAAATGGTCTGAGGAGCTAAGAGGGGCATCGACAAAGACCTGATATTCGTCCGGATGAGAGGTCAGCAGGTCCACCAGGGAAAGTACATGATCTTCCACATCTGGAATCCGCGTAGGCGAGGTAACCAGTTGTGTCAGGCCATTTGCCAAAACAAAGTCTCAAACAGAACTACCCGCGTGATTGGTTAAACGAGAACCAAGCCATTCAGCGTGGTGGGCGTTAAAGTCACCAAGCATTACAATCTCTGTGGATGGGACCTATAGTAGCACGGAGTCGGAGCCATTTGGACGTGGTCAATGTGTCGGTCCGTGTTGGCATTGCTGCTATGGGACCTATTGAGGCACCCGTAGATGCGGGGGTGGTCTTCGCTGTCTACGCGCAGCCGTAAGATGGACAGGTCCGCGCCTTCAAGGCTGCCGAGGTGACACCTGAAAACAGATGTCTTCTCTAACGTACACGCAAACTCCAGCCCGGAGCACAAAGGAGTGTTCTAATTTGTACCCCAGGTAGGAAAGATACGAAGTATCAGTCGGAGAGGACACCTGTGTCTCGGTTAGAAAGAGCAAGGCCGGCTTTGCCGTTTCCAGATGGTAGTGGACGGCGTTAAGATTTGAATGAAGTCCCCTGATATAGCAAAAATTCACGGATATCATGGTAGGGGGCGCCTTTGAGTAATTGCTTTAGTTTGCAGGTTTTAGTCTCGAGTGGCATTTCGCTCCCCTCCAGAATACGCGTGGCAGCCTGAGCACCCACGTTGAGGAAGATTAGGGTAGCTAGGACGTGGATGCTCTGCGAGGGATTCTCCGTCACCGAGGGTGCTGGCACCCTCCTGGGGTAGTGTATTATTTAACTTCGCTACCATGTTAATGGAGGGGGGGGGGGCGGAATTGGGCCTCCGGCTACTGCTTTTGGCTACTCGGACCATTGTCTGATCCGGGGTGCGTTGCCACTTACGCTCCCATCGCGGTTGCATTATGTAGGTTGCCGTCGTGTTTGACATTATAGTGCAGCTGATTGGGACGAGATGTGATCTTTATTTTGCATCCTACTCTTGGAGGCAGGTTTTCTTCTTGCCGGATGATTCCAGTGCTGTTGCTGATTCTGTCGCTGATGTTGTGCTACAAGGAATGGAACTTTATATTCCATTATCTGTGGCACCTATCGAAGGCAGAACCCAGCCATGGTTTGGTCCCTCCTGCAAAATAGAATTATGCCATAAGCAAGAATGCTACAATGCCTGGGCTCACGCATCGACGTCTCAGGATGCCAATATCAGCACTCTTAAAAATAAGTATAATTCCGCCTCCAGGTCCTTCATAAAGTGTCATTGTCAGGGCAAAGTCAGAGCAAGTCGGCAGAATTGGCAAGAAACTAGTTCGTCTTCCTTCGGGAATACGTGTATTCTGCTCTCTCGCCAAGGCTGTCCAAGGGAACTTCTCTCCGCTTTATACGTGGTAGAGCCATGCGGCAGCTATATGAGTAGTACAGTTATAGCACGAATGGGTCGGCTCGACCGGGGAAGGACAACGTCTTTACAGAATGCCAGCGTAAAATAGCAGCTTAACGCTGCTGTGTTTTGTATGGTAAGTGTAGAGAACCGGAGACCCTTTTTACTGGAAATGAGGCATTCCATCTTAGTCCTCATGGGTGACAACGCATCTGCATTTTGTTTTGTAATAGAGAATAGATGTATATGTATATGGGCCGCAGCAACCACTTACCATCAGGTGGACTGTGTGCTCGTTTGTTACCCTTATCCTATAAAAAAGCCACCTCTCTTTGCACAGGGAGGACGACTCACTGGCCCATGCCGCAAAGACAAATCCGATCTGCTGGACTTTCTCTTTGCATCCAACTCGACTCTTGATGATGGGGTGAACACACCGCCAACCATCCCGCGGTGTGAGTGCTCCATGCAGGATGTTCTATTTACCCAACGCTCGGTACGCAGAGCACTACTCTCCCTGGACTTCAACAAGTCGAGTGGGCCTGATGGCGTTCCTCCTATTGTTCTAAAGACGTGTGCTCCAGAGTTGGAACTGGTTTTAACGCGTCTTTTCCGGCACTCTTACTCCCTAGGCGTAATCCCGAAATCATGGAAGACAGCCTTCGTGCACCCGATCCAATAAAAGGTAATCGCTCTAATCCGTCCAACTTTGTCTATCGCCATCACCTCCTTGTCCTCTAAAACAATGGAGTCCATTATTAACATCCAGCTTATGCGGTAGCTTGAGGGTCACCAGCGGAGGCAGTAAAGTTCAAGTGGGAGGCGTTGTCCGTTAGTTTCGAAATAGCGAAGGCCTTCCATCGGGTTTGGCACAAAGCGCTTCTTGGGAAGCTTCCTTCCTATGGGCTTTTCGAGAAATTGTACAATTGGTTTACCAGTTTTCTTGCAGATCGGAGCATCAAGTTCGTAGTAGACGGTGCATGCTCCAATTACAAGCCTATTAACGCTGGTGTTCCACTAGGCTGCATGCTATCGCAAACTTTGTTTCTTCTGCACATCAATGTCATGTTCCAAACCGGTAACATTCATGCTATGCGGATTACAGCACTCGTGGTGCCTTATACGCCGGCCGTGCCAATATTTAGATATCTATTAACACCATTACCGGGACAAACTTGTATCTGAAGTCAAAACTTTGTTGACCAAAGTCTCGGACTGGGGGCGACTAAATCTAGTTTAGTTTAATCCCGAGAAGACTGTAGTGCCCTGTAGCTTCCCCTTCACCCCCGACAATATACATTTATGATATTAGTATTAAGTATAAAATAAGAGACTATATAATTAAAGTTCTTGTACAAGCAACACGCCTCCTTCATTCAGCACCTTCCGAGTTCCGACATTACATGGCGATCCTGCCAGCCGGTGTGCTGCAATGCACGCGCACCGCCGCGGCTTACAAAATGATTAAAATTACAATATAATCTTATTATTGGAATTTACTCAAATTGACACAATTATATATCCGGACTACACAGAATATATACCCGGATGTGACGAAAAAATAACTAAATATGAATACAAGAAGAGGCCTTAATAATAATTTTACAGAATGTGACAGAAAAATTAAAAGGTTAAATGTATATGAAGTAGTACTATGAAGTCAACTAAGAGGAAAATAAAGTGATTTTTTATATAATGAGTAAAATTGAAGAAATAGCAGATTAATTTGAAAAGAAAGAAACAGTTTTGCAAGCTGTTAAAAGCGGTAGGGTCTATATTCGTATAGCATGTGACTCGGAAAAGAAACTACGTGTTTATGTT